TGGTAGATAGTTTTACTTTCTTGAACTAAGCACAGATGAAGATGGATTTTGTGTTAGACAAATAAAGAGGGCATTAATTCTACAAAGGAGGGTAATAACAAACTAAGCCAAGATCATGAAGGATATTTCTTCAAGGTAACAATAATTAAATCAATGGTTTTCCAGTAATAACGGATGGTCATGAAAGCTGGACATCGAGAAAAGGCAACAGAAGATGATTACCAATTTCAAATTAGGCTCTTGGGGATTGCTATTAAGGGGCTGTAAAAAGAACCAGTCCATTGATTCTATAAAAAATAACTGCTTTGTTATGCGAATGATTAGGAATCAGAAACGTACATGCCAACAAATGATGTACTAGAAAAATGACTAGACTTAGCAAAGCTCATGGAAATAGATGAAGGGAAAGACAATGGCTAAAGTGGGTGGATAAAATCAAGAAATTCACTGTTATGTTCTTAGAAGAGCTACAGATTATTTCTGGGAACAGGTCAAGGTGATGGGCATTTTCTGTAAAGGGATTGACTCAATGGCACCTAATTAAAATTTGCAAGTATAATTATTTTATCCATAGCAGGGCATGTATTCATCCTGTCAGTACTTTATTTTATAGGCATAAAATTTAGGTTATTTATCAGTAATGAATACAAGCTTGCTTTATATTACCATAGAGATGGATGGATGACCCTAAAAATTTCTATAAATCACAAGTGTGAAAATGGCCTATCATACTTTTACAGAATATGAAAGGCAATACATTTAATTACAGTACTCCAGTATATATTGAACCTGACTCACTGCCTAAAAAACCACAGATGGTACTAAGTAATTTTTCTATTCACTATCAATGATAATGAAATTTTATATTATTATGTATAGTCAATCGTAACATGTTATATAGTTTATTGTGCTTGACAGAAATTTGTACGTTGTTCAGTTACAACTGGTATTGATGTACCATTAAATCATAACGGTAAAGCACCTCTTTATTCTCAAGAGCTTGTTGTCATAAATAGAAGCAAGCATTCAGGTTTTTTTCATCATAGTAGCAAGTATTTAATAATTACAATTTCCTTTCAACCTAGAATTGGCCTGGTGTTCTGTATCCAATAGTAGTCTGCCAAAACCTGCAAGTGATAGCAAAGGGACAAATATTCTCAACTAATCATATCTATACTAAGTTATTGTCATGCCGATGTGAATAATAGAAGTTGTAGTCCAGTGCCTCTGAAGCTTGGGTTTAATAAATGCAGACTGATCTGCTCTATTTAACTGTCTGTAAAATTTTCTATTTTAAAAATTAGAAATCCATACTAAAATTCATCAGATCAAATAATGGAGGCTGTTCTTTATGAATATTATGAGATGGCCAAGAAGTACTACCTACTTTTTTTTAAAGTACTGTCTTAAAAAGTCCAACACCAATGGGTAAAAGTTTCTTTCACAACACTTCCGGTTGCTGGTCACATGGCCCAGCATTTCTCAACCTTGACAACTTTGAGATCTATGGACTTCAACTCCCAGAATTCCCCAGCTTGAAGTCCACACATCTTAAAGTTGCCAAGGTTAAGAAACACTGGCATGGCCAATCCAGAAAAGTACCAGGAGTATCGTCCTTCTAAGAGTCCAATTCTACTGTAAGTATACTGGACATTTTAAAAGTTAAATCCCCAAAATAGGAGAGTACTTTTAGCCCTTTTGTATATTTATAAAGTATGTGCAGCCTCAATTTGCCCCTGGATCCAATCTAGTAAATTCCTTTAGGGATCTTTTCCCCCCTTGCATTGTGGATCTGCTGCTGGAAAATATCTAAATCACATGCAACGGGCAATGTACGTGCATAACCCTCATGCTATTACATACAAAAGCAAAGAAAAGGAGTAATAAATAGCAAGCCAAAGAAATTAAATACACGAGGTAGGAAAAAAGATGAGCATAATAATTCAATTTAGTTTACACCAACACTGTTCATTATACCCTCCACATCTTTCTACCCTGACTTCCGCTACATCAATTCACCACTTCATAGTTTGCCTTCTGTTTG